AGCTATTGCTACTTATCGTCCTCCTGCTAGGTGCCTGCCTGGGTTTTACACTCATTGTGGGGTTATATGGAGACATACAAAAGCCATAGCACTCCACAGCATTATTTTCAGTCACCAAGTTCAGATGATCAAATTCTGGCTCAAGTCTGGATAGGTATATGCATTGTATGCCTGCTTCAGCCCCATTGCCTCTGCTTCATGTGCTGGAAAGCAAGCCAGCAACTCAGAGTTAACCATAGGTTTCCATTAAGTCTAAACTACAAATTATGACTTTTGAACAAACTAGGATATGAAGCTTTGGTTTAAAATTAGTTGGTTTGGAAGAGGTTGACTACAGTTCCCTGGTTTCAATTAGCAAGCAACTGTGGTTAACTGTGGCTTCCTGACTTGTTTGCTCATTTGAGTGAAGAGAATAAAGCTGGAGGAAGCAGTATACATATGAATCTTAATCAATTTTTTAAAATTTAAATTGGACATGGAGACATATAATTTCATTTCTGTTAAAAAAATAACATTGGCATCAAGAATGTTTTTCTGTCCAGGAGCAACAGAAAATAGTCTGGCAACATTGTTCTAGGCTGATTTACTCAAAAGTAAAATTCTGTTGTGTTGAATGGGACTTTTTATATGTATGCTTAGAATTTCAACCCATACACTTGGAAAATATTACACACAGTAAATGTTTGCTGTTCACATGACACAGCTGATTATGGGTTAATTGACTCCCACCTAGTCACAGTACATGTGATGGTCATGTGACCACTGTTTTGAATATGCAATCTCTAGTTAAGTTCCAGGGTTATGGCATGTTGTGCAAACCAAGCCATCATGGGTTAATTGAGAGTTAACCCAACTACTTCTGTGTTAGGTAGTGATGGTTTAACCCTGGATTAATTATGATGGCAGCTTTCACACAGCATGCTGTAACAGTCACCTGGATGGGAAGTTCTCTATTAAAAACAGGTACTGCACGCATTGGGACTAATCATGGTTTAATTAATTAATCAATCCACAACAAGCTGCTGTGTCATGTAAACTGGTCCATTTGTTTGTTAGGAAGCCAGGCTCTTGTGACTTCCCGTCAGTGTAATTTTCTTTTTTTTTTAAATAAATTTTATTCTAAATAAACCTAACATACACAAAAAACAAAACAAAACCCAACAACCTAAAAACAACATCAATCATCATCGGAAACATCGGACCTACTGGGTCAGCCCCCCACATTTTTTTCTTTTTATGTTAAATTATAAACATACTTAAATCTATGCAAAGCTCCATTTCTCTAACCAATAATAAAAAAAGTCCCAAGTTTGATTAGAAGTCAGTCAGTGTAATTTTCAAAGGTGAACTTGGGTTTGCCACTATTTAATATGTGGAAAAACTCTTGAAACTGCTCAAGGAATGGCAATAAGTTATGGATGGTCATCTTTTCTTATGGAAAGTGAAGTAGATTAAACTGCATTAGAGATCTCTGCAAATTGCCTTTTTACTAGGTGCTTAGCAAGCATCTTTGAGACCAAATTCATTCATCTGATTAGAGTAAGCTGCAGCTTGTTCTTCCAGTTACCTTGAGTATTTCCTAACCTAATTTGCACTTTACATGCTTGGTTTGCTCTAGTTTCTGCTTGACCAGTGGGTATCATGGAGCTGCCTGGCCTCCTCTATGGGGTGCAAATGCTATAGTTGGGTTCTTTGATGTGCCTTAGGGAAACATACTATATTGAGAAGTTACAAGTTGTTGTGTACTTGTATGAGGAAGCTACGAGACACAATGCCTGTATTTTCACGAACACTGTACAGAGTTCCTTCCAGTGGCCCAAATATGAACTTCCTTTTTGTGGGAAGAACCTTGTGTCAGTCACACTGACTGCAGTTTCCTTGCAGGTAAAATATATCTGTCAGGCCCAAAGGGCAAAGATCTGGGGCACTGGAATTCAATATTAATTCACTATCCATTGCAGCAGGACTAGAGTGGTACAGAGAAATACCTATGCATATGGAGTGGGACAAGGACAGGGACTTGGCTCTGTTTCTATTCTGTTGGAAAAAGCAATTCATTTTCAGTCTGGGATATAATTGAGAGAGAACAATTCATGTTTCTTAGTCTAAACTTTAAACTTTAGATCCAAGGTACCCAAGATTATTCTTGAGGCTCTCTGTAGGTGTCCACCCGTGTCCCAACCCTTCTTGACTTAACATTTATTATTGAGATTAATAGGCTAAAAAGTGAAATGTCTGCCCCGTGCACCATTTTTGGAGACTGTCCTTGCTTAGAGCAAAGATGGAGAACTCAGGCTTCTGACCCTCTCAAGTTCCACAGATAGTGTTGCCCTTTCCCCCAGCTACCAATTTTGTGGTGGTTTCCTGACTTCTGTGCATTCACTGTTCCCTCCTGAAAGGTTCCAATGTCTTTCCTAAGGAATAGTTACTGGCCATAAGAGTTCTAAGCTAAAATATACAAATATTTTTAGCCCCTTTGCCAGCACCCACCATTAAAATGGAGTCCTTGAAAACTTTTCTGAAATGGAATTTGGCCCTTGCCCCATTTCAGAGGAGCTTTCAAGGACTGCATGTAAAAGAGGTATTTCAGCCCTGCATAAGAGATACTAACTCCTACTCTGTAAACGTCTATACATGTTGATAATGTCATGTAAACAAAACACTATTTTATAGTCTATCCCTAACTCCACTGTTTTGCCCATTGTAGTTGCTGGGTGCCTCTCTAGCAATTATTGGAAAAGTTACTCATTATTGAGACGAGGACTGATTGACTTTGAAAGAATTGGTAATTTTATGGTTTATAGACAGTTAAGATATGTTTATTAAGATAAACATTTTAAATTATGGAACATGAAGTTTGCCTTTTTCACAGCACCTGCATACTGAGTCAACATTCCATTGAGATGTCCATCAGAACCCCAAGATCTCTTTCTTAGTTAATCACCTGATCTTAGTTCCTCTTCCTCCTCTGCCTCTGCTTCCCCCTTCCTCCATTGTAATCCAAGGTAGCTTACATAGCTCCATTTTACAACAACCCTGTGAGGAAGCTTTGGCTGAGAATCCATGACTGGCCCAAAGACATCCAGTGAGCTTCATGGTCATGTGTGAACCAGAACCTGGATTTCCCTTGTCCCAGTCTAGCACTCAAACTGCCATACTGCAGTAGCTTATCAGAAAGTCCACTGACATGATTAAACTGAAAATGCTTCAGGAAACCAAAAAGAATGGGGGTTTTGGTTTACCAGATTGGATGTTGTACTATCAAGCGTCTATTTTAACTTGGCTAAAAGAATGGATAACCTTGCGAAATAAGAGAATTTTTTATCTTGAAGGACATGATTTGCAAATGGGTTGGCATGCTTATATGTGGTATGAGAAGGTTAAGTCTCATGGGACTTTTTAAGTCACTTTATTAGAAGATCATTAATGCCAGTGTGGGAAAAGTTAAAGTCAAAATTGTATAATAAGTTACCAAGATGGCTTTCACCTATGGAAGCTTTTGTGTATCCAATTGTATTGAATTTTGAAGGGATCATAAGATATGATGATATTTTGGATAAGGATGGAGGCCTGAAAATAGATCAAGAAATACAAGAACAGGGACTCAATATCTCGTGGTGGTATAAGGTGCAGATGCAATCAAGATATGCTAAAGATTGTAAAATATGGGGGTTTTATAAAGACCTAACAGCCTTTGATCAAGTGATGTTAAAAACAGATGAGAAAATGATTAAAAGAATTTATGAGTTCCTACTTGACAGGAAAATGGAAGGGGAACAGGTTAAGGAAACTATGATAACATGGGCACAAAATTTTGGATATAATATTGAATTAGAAAAGTGGCAAAAGTTATGGGAGAGAAATATTAAGGTAACTTTAGCAACTTTGTATAAAGAAAATTTATATAAAATGTTTTATAGATGGTATTTGTTGCCAAATCAGTTAGCTAAAATGTTGCCAAATATGTCAAACAGATGTTGGAAATGTAAACATGATGTGGGTACATTTTACCATGTGTGGTGGACTTGGGAATATGTGAAAAAGTATTGGATTAAAATACATAAATGGCTTGAGGAAATGCTACAAAAACCCTTAGCTTTTAAACCTGAAATTTTCTTGTTAGGTATTGTACCGGAAAATATTAGCAAACAAGAAATGTATTTGATACTACATTTAATCACAGCAGCTGGAAGAGTGAAGAACTACTACCCACTGAGGAACTGATTTTAAAAAAGATTCTGGACTGTGCAGAAATGGACAGACTGACTCTATTATTGAAGGAGAAAGAAGATACTGACTTCTATCAAACTTGGGACCTTTTTTACGAGTGACTGGAGAAACGGGACTTGGCTTAGATTTAAAGATGTCTTTAAATTTTTATAAATCGATTTGAATATGATTATAGAATGTTTAAAAGATAAGTTATAGGGGGCTGACCCAGTACGTCCGATGTATTTGACGATTGATTATTTTTTTAGTTTTTAGTTTAAAATCTTAATAAAAAATGTGCAAAAGAGAAAGTCCACTGATACGTATCCCTTCCTTTTCATCTGTGTGAGAACAAATGTTACTGTCAAGCAGAGCTTTGAAGAAATGACAGCAGACTTTGAAACTTTGGGAATGAACCTAAAGAACTTTGTGACACAAGTAGACTTGCTCTCCATCCTTCCAGTGCTTAGAAGGGGAAAGAGAAATATTCTAGGTGAATGTCTACAAAGGTGGTACCATCACAAGACATTTGGATTCTGGGACTGCAGGATATTCTTCCTGGAAGATGGACTCATATCAAGGAATGGGAAAAATATGTTTGGTTGCAGCATGAAGAAATTAATTGGAAGGGCTTTATATGGAATCCTGCAGGAAAGGAAGAAACAAACTTGGAGGTGAACAACGAACAAAGGCTTTTGCACCACAATGGAAAGAGCAGCTGTAACAGCACCCACAAAATGTCTTCCAAAAGATGTAGGAAGAAAGCTGGACTATAAAGTATGTGGTCTTTGATGTTTATATGCCCAGAGAATGGAAAACAAATAGCATGAGTGTGAACTCTTAATACAGAAAGGCAAATATGACTGGATATTGTAACTGAAACTTGGTGGGATGACTGTCATGGCTGGAATTCAGCAATTGAAGGATGTAACTTGTTCAAGAAGAACAAAGGGGACAGAATGCAAAGTGGAGCTACACTATATGTTGAAGATACATATCCATGCAAAGATATACAGGAAGATGAGTTTAATAGCTGCATTGGGAGCATCTGGATTAAAATAAATGGAGCAAAGAATAAAAGGAACATGGTGGTCAAAATCTACTCTGGAGCAAATTATAAAGCTGCCAGACAACAAGTACTTTGAAAACAATCCAGTAATTACTGCACTGATTTGTCAAAAACAAATAAATCCTGCCAGACTAATCTCATATTTTGGTTGAGTAGTCTGCCTTGCAGACTGTGGGAATGCTGTGGACATAATATACCTTGACTTCCCCAAAGCTTTTGATAAAGTGCTCCATGATATCCTGATTAGCAAACCAAAAGTGTACTAGATGAAACAACTATCAGGTATATCAACAGTTGGCTACAGAATCAGACTGAAAGAGTGTTTATCAGTGCTGCCTTCTCAAACTAAAAAGAGGTAATGAATACCACAGGATTCAGTCCTGAGCCCAGTACACTTCAAAATTTTTATTAATTATTTGGATGAAAAGGTGCCAGTAATGCTTATCAAATGTGCAGATCATACAAATAGCAAAATACCCTGGAAGCACTCAAAATGAGGATTAATTTGCACAGTGAAGATGCCCGGTTGACCTTTCTTGGAAGTGAGGGAGACAGGAGGCCACTACAGGAAAAGCTGCTTGTCTGGCAGCCACCCGTCACACCACCATCCTTGTACCCAATCATCATATAGTATAGCAATACCACATGGAGCCAAAGGTCAAATAGCAGGTGGAATGGGAGGCACAGAGGATGTGGAATGTGGCAAGACTAAGTGCAGCTCATGCTCTCTGTGCATTTTGTCAACACTAATCTCTGTGCTTGTAATTATGTTGTGGTAAATAGTGTAGTAAATATGTTGCGGCAGCAGGACTTTAAATAACAATTTGGCAGCAGGATAATTTTTTCCTTGTTTGCCTTTCATCAGATGCTGTTTCTATTTAATAAGACTATGGTGGAAAGCTGCTTATATTCGTAAGCTTATTGCAGAGCTACCAGGTGTGAAAGATTCCATTTGTACAATCCCATTGCAGTGCACACATGGAAAGGATTGGTGGTCCTTTCGACCCCATTAATAACATTGTAGGAAAAGTACTGGCTTTTCCTATCCCTACATTTCTTCTGCCAGCATCCAGTTCTTAAATATCTCAATAATGGGGTCTAAGCTTTAGCAAGGGTACAGACCTCTGGCCTGTAGGGCTACCAGGGCCCCCCAGTCTGACCCATGCCACCCAAGCCCGACAGTGCTTCAGGGTGCGGAGCTTAGGCCCCACTGCCTGGAGGAAACCCACTGATAATCTCTAATCTGTGGCAGGAGTTAGTGCTTTTCCACTTGTAGAGCAAAGCAGCTGCTCTTCTCTGAGTATGGGCAAGTCCCTTCCGCCTGTCATCCATGATGCTGTCTGCAGTCACAGAGGTAGCAGCAGGGGTGAAAGGTAGTAGAGGTGATGTCTCATTAAAAGTATAGGACAAACAGACAAAAAATTTATGTAAAACTTGATGTACACTGAAATAGAAAATAGATTGGATTTTTTTGTAACTAGCTAAGCTTAGGCCACTTTATGCATTATAGTGACTATATTTATCTGTTGAATTAGGGTGCAAATGCTAGCTGCATGTCCTAACGTCCTTTTGTTTTTGTCTTGCAGGAACTTAATTAAAATGCTGCTATCAATAGGAATGTTAATGCTTTCTGCCACTCAGATTTACACCATTCTCACAGTTCAGCTGTTTGCTTTCTTAAATCTGTTGCCTGTGGAAGCAGACATCTTAGCAGTAAGTATTGTAAAAAGACTGTATCTGTGTAGAAGAATAATTCCATATATAAAATATTCCTTAAAAGTGGGATTGTCAAAGTGAATTCAGCACATGATCACTGCACCCCACTGAGGCTAACTGAAGCCTTTGTGGAATAAGGTACCTCTGTATTGCTGCTTTGTGCCCTTCCCCCAGCTTCTTATGTCGTTTGAACTTGCTGAGGGCAGCTTGTTGGGTTGGTTAGCAAAGTATCCCATTATCCTACAACAGACTATTGCTTCTGTGTGGTTTGTTAACTATCCCAACATGGTAGGTTTGGACAACATGAGAAGCAGTGCACAGTGAGGGAAATAATGGCACAGCACATTTATTTATTCTGGAATAAGCTTTCATGGATGCTTTCTGCGTCATGAAATTCATCTTTTTGTTGTTTTTGTTGCTGCAGATTAATCTGGCAATCTCTCTGGAAATTGTTGAACTGGCACTTAACTCTTTAAAATTACCTGCATGCACTAATAGTTCTTTGAAAAGTCTTAGCTGGATTTTCGGCAGCTGACCAGAGCAGGAAATAATATTGGGTGGGGCCATAATTAAATGATAATATGCCAGTAGAAACTACCAGATCTTGCTGGGGAGGGGGAGTGTTCATTCTATCACCCTCCCCCCCCCCAATCCACAAGCTTCTGAGTTCTTTAAAGCTCTTCATCAAGCAAGGTTATATGAAAAGTAGTGAACAGGGGAAGAAACAGAAAAGTCCCAAAATTTGGCTAGGTTTTTGAGGCCATTATATTCTGCAGTTTAGAAAGACCCCAGTGTCAAAATAGAATTTTGCTGTCTGAATAAATTAATGAGTGGGAGGTGTTAACAGCTATTTTTCTTTCTGCAGTAGCAAAGCCCTTGGTGAAGGACTTTAATTTGGCACAACTGTCAGAAGTGTCAGGCAAGGCACTTCTCTCTGGCACATGCAAAGGGGTGGAAGAGGAACCAGTTGTCCTCGCTACTCCCACCTCCTGCCCTAAAGATCTTCTTTGGGGCAGGAACAGATGACCTGGTCAATGCTGGGAAAGGAACAGCACTGCTTAATTGATTCCCCTGCTGCTGCTCCTGCATAAGTAGAAATGCAGAGACTGCTCGGGACAGCAGTGCCTGTTTGGGGTCCGTGTGCTGCAGTCCATTCCCCTCTTATTTGAGAAGTAAGGTGAGAAACAGCTAGGTGGTGGTGTCTGGTTGGGAGCCGCTTCCTTCAACTGCTCCTTTTTATATTCTGGAGTGATGCTTCTTGTACTTTGAGCCAGTGGCAGGGTGAGAATCTGCTGGACAGTACTGCAGAAAGGAGCGGTGCTGCTCATTTGGTTCCTCCTCTGTTCCTTTGCACGCACCAGAGAGATTGTGCCTTTAGAACTTACAGCTCCTTAAAAATGCAAAGTTATTATGGCATAAGCTTTTGTGGACTCATCTTTAAAGTATAACGGATCTTTTCCCCTTACCTTGACTTGCTTTTCTCCTCCCAGTAGAAGCAAGCTTTTTAGGGAAAATGTACTGGAATTAAAGCACTTTCTAATAGTTAGAGCCAGTGTGTCATAGTAGAGCGTTGGACTTAGGAGTTCTAGTTCTCACTTGTCTGTGAAATTTACTGGATAATTCTGGGCCAGTCGCTGATTCTCAGCCTAACTTGCTTCATAAAGTTGTTGAGTGGATAATATGGAGAGGAAGAAGACATAAGCCTCCCTTGCAGGCTTAACATAAGCCTCCCTTGCTAAAAAAAACAAAACAAAACAAAAAACTAGCTATAAATACAACTAATTGATAAATAAAAAATTTGGCTGATTGCAAACATGGCTGAAGGGCAAAAATCTTGAGCATTTAAATATAGTTGAGCTGTGTTGAAACTGAAACTGAATCAGTGGGTGCATAATGGAACACAAAGACCCAGGCCTCATCTTCCTGGTGAGGTGGGCCATACAATACTCTAAAGCTCAACTTTGAACAATTGAATCTTGGTGAATTCCAGAGTGTACTGTTATTTCTCAGTTGTACGCTAATGATTTTAATATTCATTGTCAATTATCACATATATGGTTCCACATTTCTTTTATATTTAGTTTAATTTTGAAAATGCAACACAAACCTTTGATGACCTGCCAGCAAGATTTGGCTACAGACTGCCAGCAGAAGGCTTGAAGGTAAGAAGCAACAGCTTGGAACAAGTGACAATAAGAATCAATATTATTTTAACTTGGCACTTTGTATGTAATGTACTTAATGTATATCTATGTCTTTCATGGAATGATAATTCTATAGAGCTGATTCAGATTGAAAGAAATCCTGTCATTGCTGTGGTTGGGAAAAGCTACGGAGACAGAATTTCTATATGGGACATAGTCCTGCTGCAAGAAAGACGGGAGCAGCAAAGCAGAGCCACAGGGGAGATGGCCGAGATTCCACCTGTCTTTCCTGCAGGAGCCCGCCTCTGATCAGGCATGCCTTCCCTGCACGAACGGAACTGCAATCACGGCCATCTCCCCACCCCCAGCGCACTGTTTGCGCCCATCTCTCCCTCCCCCAGCGTGCCCGCGATCACACCCATCTCTCCCCAGCACGCCGGGATGACAGGTGTGTGCAGGAATGACGGGTGCATGCAGGGATGACAGGTGTAATCTCGGTTGTGCTTGCGGGGGGGGGGGGGGGGGGGGGGGGGGGGGGGGTTTTGGGGGGTGTGGGGGGGTTTTTGGGGTGTGGGGGGGGGGGGGGGGGGGGAGATGGCCGCGATGTTTGTTGTTGTCACTTTGCTTCACATTTTTCTGATTTAAAAAATGGTTACAGAACAGATTAGCCTTATTTACATTAAACCTTATGGGGAAATTTAACTTGGCTCATGACCAATTTGGGTCATGACCAGAGTCCTGGAATGGATTAAGTTCATGAGCCAAGGTACCTTTTCAGAAATGGGGCATGGAAATTGGTTAGTATTTTGGTACATGTAGACATTGCAGTCTCTGCTTCAAAAGTGTGTATTATTCTAGATGGTTGCTGCATGAACATGCTTAAGAGCCTTTTGCTTCAGAAGTTCAGATTCAACTTAATACATGCCAACTTTTTCAGCTTCTGCATGTTATTTTCTGAATCTGAGGATGTGTTACAACCCTGAGGTCTAGAACATATTCTTACCTAAAGAAGTCTGAATCCTTGCAGGCAACACAATCACGTATTTGCTAAGCAGTATGCATAGCATGCTGGAAAGCTGTGTTTATTAAGAAACTTCATTAATGCAGTTTTTTAAAAAAATGTATATGATTTTCTTAGGTTGAAATCTTCCACCTGGGATGGGTAGGGTATAGGATGTATTTTAAAATTTTAACTGCAACAAGGGATTTGATGTATGAAGCACAGCTGTACCCAGTAACAAGAAGGAATGAACCACTTTCTATCAACAGTTGCCCAGAGCAACAGAAGATAATACAGAGGCTTTTCTTTATAGTATAGGAGATTTCAGGAAGATGTTCTTCTCTAACAGATGAAATGTTGGGAAATAAAACTTCAGTAAACCTGAAGAAAAGGACTGCTGATAATCACTTGCCTATCTTTAAGGATGTTGTCAGGGAACTGTTAAGCCTGTGCTGGAACCCACAATGAAACTGGGCGGCCATCTGAGTGGGATGGTGTAAACCAGGGTCCTGGAACAGCAGGGGGTTGGACCCAGTGGCCTTCATGGCCTCTTCCAACTCTACTATTCTAAGATTCTAGGAATATTTAAACTAAGACATGCCTTCAGAATGAAAGCTTTTGGTAGTCTGGCATATGAAGGTATTTGATCAATATTGCTTATTGACGTTTTCTATATCCTTACTGTGAAGAAAACAGAAGCATCCTTCCTGAGAAATATTTCAGGTGTTGGAGATAGGTTTGCATTCAGTTGTTTGCAAGTGTAGCAAAGGAATGAGGATAACAGGAGGCCTGGAGTGCAAAAAAAGAAAGAAGAAGCAAGGTTGGAAGGAATATTTCCCATCACTCAGCTAATATAGTGACAGCAGATATATTCAGAGAAGCAGATGGTACAGCACTTGTCTAGACTGTCATACTTCAGACTGAAGTTGGAAAATCTCATTTTAAAGGTTTCTCTATGCAGGAAATTAGGAGTGGAGAGAATGCTACACCAACAGGTTTAGGCTTGAATCCATCTCCCAGATGGACTGGTTTTCCACAGCAGTTATAATTTCGGTGAGGCAGGAAAATGAACCCACAGATCATTTACCCCTATACAGTTATTAAAGGAAATAAATTATTTCCCCCTTGCATTTATCAGTGTACATGTCTAGAACTGCTGTGCTGTGTGTTTTCTTCTGAACAGCAATAAGTTCCAAGGCTGATTATGATGCAGAGTTCACTATTTGACAAGGGGATTATAACAGAGTAATTGTCTGATATAATGCAAAGAATCAAGACAGGGATACATAGGTTCATGTCACAGGTAACAACCTGTGGGTTGTTCAGTCTCTGTTGGAGCAAGCACATTCCCTTCCAGTGATTCACTACTTCCAGTTTGTCTCTGATTTAGAAAACAACCCAAACAATTCTCTTTGTCTCTTCCCCCCACCCCTTGCCCAATCTTGGATGCACACCTTAATATGGTTAGGGCATTTGAGAGTGTCAGAGAAATGAAGAGCAATGCCACCAAGAGGCTGATAAGGACAGGACATTTTGGGGGGCAGTCATTCATAGGGTCGTCTTGAGTCAGGTTCCTCAACAGCCTGTAACAATGTCTGTTTGTCTGTCTATTACCTATCTACCTTTACATGCCCAGTTCCCTTTGTATATGCTTCCATTCTTGGTTCTTGAACATACATATTCTCTTCCTTCTTCAAGGACATATAAATTGAAGCACCTTCCACTATTGTGTTGCCTGTTAGTCAAGGAAGTAGTGTGTTGATTGGTGTGATTGATGTTTGTGTCCTCGCACACATAGACGCGCACACGCGTGCACACACACACATGCGTAAGCATTTCTCATTCCTCTTATATCCTTGTAGGTTTCCTTGCAATAGTATTCCAGTCAAAGTGACATCATAGATCTGATTGATCTTGCTAAGTTTGTATAGAACTGTCCTAGCTTGTATGTATAAGCAATTTCTAAGAGATCTTCAGATTAGAATTATGTCAAGTATTTTCAGTTGCAAGGGTATGTTGGAAAGACTATGATCACTTAAACAAGGATCGGTATCACTTCACATATTTATTGATTTTAATTTTATTTGTACCCCCACCTTTTTACCAAGAAAAATAAAATTCAAGGCTTTAATGAAGGAAACTGTACTGACTGATATTGAATCATATTGGACACCTATAAGAAGTTGTCATGCTGTGTTTGACCATTGATTTGTCTGCCAAGTATGGCTGTCGAGAACACCTCACCACCTTTTATATGGGTCTGTCCCAGTTCTGTTTCCTTTTAACCTGGGGTGTTTGGGACTGAACCTGAGATGAAACTTCTGCTCAGCTGCAGAGCTGTGGGCCTTCCCCATTTGTTTGTGTTCTCCCCCATGTTTTTCTACAACATAGACATACGAAGAGCTGTCCAAATACAATGGGTTAACAGTGGCAAACAGTAGGTCTCTGAGGAAGGATCTGACCATACTTAAGCTATACCTAATTGAGTTCCACTCCTTAACTTCACAGGCTAATCCTGCAATCCTGCCATCCTATTCACACTTGCTTAGCAGCAAGCTTCACTGAATCTAGTCCATTTTGAATGCTGAGGAAACTTGGATGGGATTGGCATGTAACTAAGTGACTGCTCTACCTTTATTTCTTCTCATAATACATCTGATATGTAACTATTCCCCTGTTAATTAAGCCTGGATAAGATTTAATTTACTACTGCAGCAAGAACTTTAAAACCATAAAAAAGAAAGAACCTGGGAACTGTAGACCAGTCAGTCTGATATTAATCCCTGGGAAAATTCTGGAGCAGATACTAAAGCAATTAGTCTGCAGACACCTTGAAAATAATGCAGTGATTATTAGAAGCCAACATGGATCTCTCAAGAACAAATCCTGCCAGATGAATCTTGATTTCGTTTTTGAAAATTGGGTAACCTTCCTGATGGCCTATGGGAATGGTGTGGACATATTCTATCTTGACTTCAGCAAAGCTTTTGACAAAGTGCTGCATGATCTCCTGATTAGCCAACTAGCTAAAAGTGGGCTAGATAGATCAACTATCAGGCGGATCCTCACTTGACTACAGAATCAGGCTCCAAGAGTGCTCATCAATGGAACTTCTCAAACTGGAAAGAGGTGACAAGTTCAATCCTGGGCCCAGTTCTCTTCAACATTTTAATGATTTGTTTGATCTTACATGTACTTACTGCAGCGAGGATTGTATTTGCCCAACACTGGAGGAATGAAGAGCCACCTACCGAAGAGCTGATTTTAAAAAAGTTTTTGGATTGCGCAGAAATGGACAGATTGACTGTCTTTGAAGGAGAAGGAAGATACATACCCCTATCAAACTTGGAACTCTGTTATTGGTTAGAGAAATGGGACTATATGTAGAATTGAATATGGTTATTGATTGTAAAAAAGAATAAGATGTCAACCCAATATGTCCAATGTCTTCGAAATAATTGTTGTTTTAGTTTTAGATTTGTAGAGAAAATAATAAAATTTGGAAAAGAAAACATTTTAATGATTTGGATGAGGAAGTTCAGAGAATGAATAACAAAATTTGCAGATGACACACGAATGGGTGGGATAGCTAATACCCTGGAAGACAGGTGATCTTGATATGTTGGAGTGCTGGGCTGAAAACAACAGAATGAAATTCAATAAGGACAAATGCCAAGTTTGCACCTACAAAATGCATCATTGCAAGATGTAGAATACTTGGCTCAACATTACCACAAGTAAAAAGGATCTTGGAATTGTTGTAGATTACAAGTCAACAATGTGATAGCCTCTGGGTATTGGGTGGCATACAAATGCAATAAACGAACAAAATGGCTGCAAAAAGGGCAAATGCTATTTTAGGCTGCATTAGTGATACTTGAAGTATTAGTTCCCCTTTACTCAGCACTAGTTGGGTCTCATCTGGCGTCCTGTGTCCAGTTCTGCACACCACAGTTTAATAAAGATGGAGACAAGTTGGAAAGGGTTTATAGGAAGGCAGCAAGAATGATCCAGGGAC